CTCCCTCCCCTCTTTCTCCGTCTCTCTCCTTCCAAATCTCACTCCCTCTCCCCCCTTCTCCCCCCTCTCTCTCTCCCTCTAACTCTTTCCCGACAGACCGACAGGAGCGACTCGCAGAAGGTGGCGCTGAAGGGGATCACCGTCGACAGCTCCGGGAGGTACAAGTGCGAGGTCCTGACGGAGGCGCCGCAGTTCAAGACGCTCGTTCGGTCTGGGTTCCTCACCGTCTTCGGTAAGGGGGCGTGTCTTGGTAGTGGGGGGAGGTGGGGGGGTTAAGGGATGGGTAGGGGAGTTAGGGGGAGGGGTTGAGTGCGTAGGATAGAGTTGTTTGATTTTGTTTTGCTTTTTTTTTGTCATCGTCCTTGTCTGTCTTTCTATGTTTTTTTTTCTTTTTCTCTCTTGTTTTTTTCTTTTTGGCTGTGTTTCTTCTTCTCTCCCCATCCCCCTTTTCTCTCCCATTCGCACCCTCGCCATCTCTCCCTCCTCCACTGTTCTCTCTAGTTTTGTCTCGATTCCTCCCTCTAACTCTCCCTTCTCTTCCTCCACCCTCTCCCTTGTTCATTCTCTTCTTCCCTTCCTCCACCTTCCTCATCTCCCTTCTTCCTTCCTTTCTTCCCTCCAACTCCCCCCCTCCTTTCCTCCGTCCTCACCTCCCTCTCTCCTTCTTTCCTCCGTTCCCTCCACCTTCTCATCTCCCTTCTTCCTTACTTTCTTCCCTCCCTCCGCATCCTCCACTCCCACCACCCTCCTCTCCTCCGTCCCTCACCTCCCTCATCTCCTCCCACTAGCTCTTCCTTCATTCTTCCTCTCCCTTCCTTGATTCCCTTTCCTCTCCTTTTGTAACTTCTATTTTCCTTTTTTTCTTACTTTCTCGTTTCTCTTCCTTCCATAACGAAAAAAATGGAAGACGTCAGGCACTGTCTCTCTTTCGGTCTCGTTTTCCTCCCATTTTCAATCTTTCATCTTGTCTAAATCCTTCTTTTCTCTCTCTCTCTCTTTCTTTCTCTTTTTCACTCTCTTTTTGCTCCCGATTTCCATCCTTCAACTTCAAATTCCTCTTTTCTCTTCTATCTCTCTCTTTCTCTATTTCCCTTTCTCTTTCCTTCTATCTCCAGCCGCGTCTTCTCCAAATTCTTTCTTTACTCCTCGCTCTCTTATTCTCTCTCTTTCCTTTTCTATCTCCCTCTTTATCCTTCTGCGCGGCGATTCTGACCTGGCCTTGTCTCCTTTCTGAATGCTATCCGCCATTTTCTCTAGTTTCTTCTATTCTTCTCTCTCTCTGTTTCTCTTTCTTTATCCAACCGCCAGATTCGCCTTTTCTGTTTTTTTCTCTTTTTCTCCCTTTCCTTTTCTGTCTCATTCTCTAATCTTCTCCCCATTCTTCTCTCCTCTCTCTCTTTTTCCCCTACTTTCTCATTGTCTAATCTTCACCCCATACTTCTTCTCTCCTCTCTCTCTCTCTCCTTCCCACCCGACCTTGTCTTGTCTCTCTTTCCCATTCTTTCTCCTTGCCACCCGACCTTGTCTTCTTCCAACAGCCATCCACCATTTTCTCTTAATTCTTCAATTCTTCTCTCTCTCTGTTTCCCTGTTTGTATTCTCTCTCTCCCATTCTTTCTCCTTCCCACCCGAAGTTGTCATCTTCCAACCGCCTTTCACCATTTTCTCTACATTCTTCTATTCTCTCTCTCTCTGTTCCCTGTTCTGTTTCCTGTTTTGTATCTCTCTCTCTCTCTGTTTCCCTGTTTGTATTTTCTCTCCTCTCTGTTTCCCTTTTTGTATTCTCTCTCTCTCTCTCCTCTCTCTCTCTCTCCCATTCTTTCTCCTTCCCACATTACCCTGTCATCTTCCAACTGTCATCTCTACATTCTTCTATTTTCTCTCTCTGTTTCCCGTTTGTAAGTCTCTCTCTCTCTCTGTTTCCCTGTTTTGTATTCTCTCTCTCTCCTCTGTTTCCCTGTTTGTATCTCTCTCTCTCTCTCTGTTTCCCTGTTTGTATTCTCTCTCTCTCCCTTTCTTTCTCCATCCCACCCGACCTTGTCATCTTCCAACAGCCATCCACCATTTTCTCTTAATTCTTATATTCTTATATCTCTCTCTGTTTCCCTGTTTCTTCCAACCGCCATTTCTACATTCTTCTATTTTCTCTCTCTGTTTCTCTGTTTGATTCTCTTTGTTGTATTCTCCTCTCTCTCTCTGTTTCCCTTTTTGTATTCTCTCTCTCTCTCTCTGTTTCCCTGCTTGTATTCTCTCTCTCTCCCTTTCTTTCTCCTTCCCACCCGACCTTGTCATCTTCCAACCGCCATTTCTACATTCTTCTATTTTCTCTCTCTGTTTCTCTGTTTGTATTCTCTCTCTCTCTGTTTCCCTGTTTGTATCTCTCTCTCTCTCTCTGTTTCCCTTTTTGTATTCTCTCTCTCTCTCTCTCTCTGTTTCCCTGCTTGTATTCTCTCTCCCTTTCTTTCTCCTTCCCCACCCGACCTTGTCATCTTCCAACAGCCATCCACCATTTTCTCTTAATTTTTCTATTCTCATATCACTCTGTTTTCCCTGTTTGTATTCTCCTCTCCCATTCTTTCTCCTTCCCACCCGAAGTTGTCATCTTCCAACCGCCTTTCACCATTTTCTCTACATTCTTCTATTCTTCTCTCTCTCTGTTTCCCTGTTTGTATTCTCTCTCTCTCTGTTTCCCTGTTTGTATCTTCTCTCCTTCCCACCCCTTGTCATCTTCCAACCGCCATTTCTACATTCTTCTATTTTCTCTCTCTGTTTTTCTTGTATTCTTCTCTCTCTCTCTCTGTTTCCCTTTTTGTATTCTCTCTCTCTCTCTCTGTTTCCCTGCTTGTATTCTCTCTCTCTCCCTTTCTTTCTCCTTCCCACCCGACCTTGTCATTCCAACAGCCATCCACCATTTTCCTTATTCTTCTATTCTTATATCTCTCTCTGTTTCCCTGTTTGTATTCTCTCTCTCTCCCTTTCTTTCTCCTTCCCACCCGACCTTGTCATCTCCCAACCGCCTTTCGCCAGCTCATTAGATATGCGAGATTCCACTTCTTTTCCGAGTTGGCGGCAAGTTTGACAAGTTCTCTGTAGAATGGCTGAAACCTGATGAAAATCCTGTCTTGCCTAATTAGGGAAAGTTATTGACTAGCAACCCGCTGGCTGATTAGTGAAGAGGGGGGGGGAGAGGGACTTGTGGCAAAGCGAAAGCCACAGGGGGAATTAGCCTTTATAGCTAAGTCTCTCTTGAATGGACGCTTAAAGCTTTTTTTTTTTTTTTTTTTTTTTTTTTTTTTGACTTATCACTGGGTGGAAGTGAAATGAAGCTGTTGGTTTCATTGCGTCACTTATTGAGAAGCGAATCATATTTCATCTATTCATGAGGTCAGATTAATGGGAACAGTATTGATTATGATCATTATCATTTATGACACTTTTTGGCAGGCAGAATCGGATCTCTCTTTCTCTCTTTCTGTCTACTTGTCTGGTTTTCGGCCTCCTCCTCTCTCTCTCTCTCTTTGCATGTCTATCTGCCCACTTTCTCTCTCTCTATCTCTATCCCCCTCGCTCTTCTCTGTCTTTCCCTCCCTCTATCTATCTCTATCCCTCCCTCTCTCTTTCCCTCCATCTCTCTCTATTTATCTATCTATCAATCTCTATCCCTCCCTCTCTCTATCTCCTCCTTTTAGAGTTATCATTATCACAACGATAATGACATTAATGATAAAGCCCTAACCAGTAAATCGTTGTGATAATCCAATAGTTTAACAGAAAGTAAAAAACAAAACAAAAAACAATAAAAAGTAGTCAATCAAACAAAACAGACAAAAAATAAATAGAGCAAAAAGACAAAGACAGGAATGAATAAATAAAACAAAATACGACAAATCTAATCCTCGTTTCTCGCCCCCTTCCTCCCTCCCCGCAGAGCTGCCCGAAGGCCGGCCAGAGGTGATGGGCGGGCAGCCTCAGTACCGCCCGGGAGACACCGTCAACCTCACCTGCCGCGCGCCCAAGTCCATCCCGCCCGCGAACCTCACCTGGTACATCAATGAGAAGGAGGTGGGCGGCCTTCAATCTGTTTTTCATTTTTTTTATGGCTAATATCTGCCCTTTTTATTTTTATTATGTTTTTATTTTATTTCTTGTGTATATATATATATATATATATATATATATATATATATATATATATATATATATATATATATATATATATATATATATATTAGATGGATAGGGTCTTTAGGTGTCGATGAGTGATTTTTTTCCATCGATTGCTATGAACTGTTTTTTTTTTTTTTTTTTTTTTTTTTATGGCTGTTTTTTCTCTCTTTTTTTATTGAAAATGTATATATGTGTGTTAGGGTGAAGTTGCTCGATGTTGCTTGATTAGGCATATGTTAAGTTTAAATTATGGAGTCATGTATCCTTGTTGGCCTCATCCTTATCTCTCTGGTTTGGTTTTGATGATGTCCATACTGCACGTGCGAGGGGGGGGGGGGGGGGTACGAGTAGATTTATGCGGAAACAGAGGTGCATTTTCAGGACAAACTGACAAACTAAGAAAGGAATATATCTACATACTGTCTATCTTGTCTTATTGTTTGTCTGTCTGTCTGTCTGTCTCTCTCTCTTTTCTCTCTCTCTCACACACAACACACACACACGCACACACACACACACACACACACACACACACGCACCCAACAACCCAACCCCCGAGACACACCCCTCCCGCACCATGCTAACGCGCCCTCCTCTCCCCGCCGCCCACAGCGCCGCCCAACCTCCTCGTGCCGTACCGGACGCCCGTGGACGTGGACGGGCGCGCCTCCTCCCGCCTCGGCCTCCGCTTCAAGGCCCAGCAGCTGTACTTCCCCGACGGGCGCGTGAGGCTGCGGTGCGTGCGTCCATCCCGAGGGGCGAGCGAGGCGACGAGAAGCCCCTACGCCCAGGACGCGCACCACGAGGGCGTGGTCGTGCCGCCCGATCCCTGAGCCTCGGCCACGACGCCGGCGGTGAGTGGCGCTCCTCCGGAATGTGTGTGTATATTCGAATGTGTGTGTGTGTGTGTGTGGATGATATATGTTTATATATATATATATATATTATATATAATATATATATATATATATATATATATATATATATATATATATATATATACATATATACATACATACATACATACACACACATACACAGTATCTGTTTATATGTGTATGTAATTGTGATTTTAAGTGCGTGTGTATGTGACGTGTGTCGTAACCCACTCATTGGTAATTAACACATGAAATGGAGCTGTGATGAATGTAGATCCTCTTAGCAAAATGTAAAACCTTTTGTGGATTTTATGCAAACTGCCACGGTTCATGTAATAGAAACTGCTTATTTTTTATATTTGCGAAATTAGATGTTTTTATTTTTTTTGTATTATTTTTGAAATCGTAAATCGATAGATACTTTGGGTATGTTGTACTCGAGTGATATTGAAAATGATGCTGATAATTATAAACTCAAAATCACATCACTGATATAAGAAATGGTGGTGATAATGATCATATTTATGCTGATAACTTGATAGAACTGTTTCTAATGATTACAGTGACAGTGATGGTGAGAGTAAAGAAAGAATGATAACTTTTAGAAACATGCTTCGTTGTCTTTTGTATTTCAATCAGAAATCATGCTTTTATCCTATCTAATGAATTTTTAATATTCTAATACATTTTCCTTCTTACTTTTGTTTTCACACCATTCTATTTTTTTCTTTCCATTTTTCTCTCATTATGAAGATATTTTTTAAATCTATATATGTCTCGTTAATGTATGAGATTGGAAACTAAAAAAAAAGAAAAAAATATTTAAGACCCATTTCGCCTCGCCTGGAAATAAACAATAAAACAAACAAATCTAGAAATAACTCGGACATGGTTATAATAACGCATGATTAATTTCCAAGCTTACGATAAGTAATTAGAGACAGTTTAATTTCCGCGCCGGGAAAAGTCTAAAAAAGGGAAAGTAAAAGAGACCTGATGAAAGTGTGTGATATCGTAGATGGCTTTTATAGAGGCTGTTGCTGCAATTCTGGATTCTGTTCATTTGTTCATTTATTCATCTATCTGTTTATTCACTTTTTGGCTATTTCCTTCTTCGATGCAGTACTTGTACCTTTTAGATTACACATAAGTAATCTAATATTATATATAATATATATATATATATATATATATATATTATATATATAATATATATATATATATATATATATATATATATATATATATATATATATATATATATATATACACACACACATATATATATGTATATATATATGAATTTATACACACATAAACATATAAATATGTATATCTATATACATATGTATATATATTTACATGTATATATACTCATATATGTATGTATAGATGTTATATGTATATATATATATATATATAATATATATATATATATATATATATATATAATATATATATTACACACACACACACACACACACACACACACACACACACACACAACACACACACACACACACACACACACACACATATATATATATCCAACATGCTTTTGCAAGCAGTTCCTCGTGTAAAAGGCGCTCTCCCTCCCACAGGTGCCCTCGGCCTTCACTGGAGCGGCGGCAGACAGGTGCGCGTCCTCCTGAGCACTCTGGTGTCCTGTGATGACCGCGTCCTCGGTTTCCCCAACTCTTCCCTTAGCTAATCTCTCAGGTGTCAATCGAGGGCGGAACAGGTCATCGAGGGGTCGGGGAACAGGTCATCGAGGGGTCGGGGTCATTGCGGGTTGGGTTTTGGGGAGGGAGGGGGGGGGGTGTGAGGGGAGGGGGGGAGAGGAGGGGATTGAGGAGAGTGAGGGAGGAGGTGAGGAGGAGGAGGAGTGAGGGGGAGAGGAAGAGGAGGAGGAGGAGGAAGGGGAGGAGTGAGGGAGAAGGAGGAGGGGGAGTGACAGGAGGAAGAAGAGAAGGGGGAACGAATTAGTAAGAAAAAAAGGGAAAACACGATACAACGAGTGGAGACAGAAAGTGTGAAGAAAATAAAATGAAAAGAAGAAAGAAAGAAAGGAAGAAGAAAGTGAAAAAAAAAACTCAAGCGAAGCAAAAAGAAAGGACACAAAAGGAACAAGTGTCAGCGGAAACCTCGATCCTCCATACATCTGCTCGAAAGACTTGCCATAACTGTGTATCTTTATGAGGTTTCCGCCTGATCTGAGGTTTCCCCTTTGCCTCCTCGAAGCTGGCCTGTGCCTAGGAGACGCAGCGACAAGCCAAATGGTGAACCTCTCCATGTTCGCAATGTCAAAGTCGTTTATCATGTTTGTTACCAAAGATCCTGGTGGTAAACATGACATGCATACACATGCTGTGTTGTAGCATCTTGAAGAAAACCAAGGCAAGTTTAAGGTCTCTTTGGGCCCAATACTCAGGCGCTTGCCAACATAGGCCTATCTCTCTTCGGGGCCTGGGAACGTAGGCCTATATAGATTCTTTTTTGGTAAGAATATATAAATATAAATATATAGACAAGATATAAATACTGAGCGAGTTGTCTGCTCGTTGTCATGTTCTTCCCCTTTCGTCAATTTGGGTTATTTTTGTGATTAGTTGTTTTGTTGTTTTAATTCTTGTTTTTTTTTATTTGTATTTTGATTTTCTATCGTTATTTGGGTGTCTTTTTATTATTATTACTGTTATCATGGTTGTCATTATCATTTGTTATCTTCCTTTTCTTCATGTTTTTCTTTTTAATTTTCTTGTCCTAATTGTTATTATTACTATCAATAATTACAATTATTTATTAATTATCATCATTGTTATTATTATTATCATTATTATTATTATTATTATTATTATTATTATTATTATTATCATTATTATTGATTTTATCATTATCATTATTGTTATCATTATTATTATTATTATTATTATCATTATCATTATTATTATTATCATTATTATTTTCATTATCATCATCATTATTATTATTATTACGGTTGTCCTTGTTATCGTTAATATTTTTTTATTGTTATCATTATTACCATTCCTCTTTATGAACATCATTTTTATTGCTATTATTTGTATCATTACCTATTATGTTTATTTTTGTTATTATTTGTTAGTACCATTATCATTTTCTTGTTATTATTATCGCTTGATCATATTCTGTTTTTAAAATTATCTTTATCAACATTATTTCCATTATCAATCTTAGTATTAACATTATTATCATCGCCATCAACATAATCACCACTTTTATTTCATATGATTTCCACTTCAGTTCCAATTTTCTGTGTATCGCTGTGTGCTTGTATGTTGTTTTCGAGAACTGTTTGTTTGTCAAATGTGTGTTGCATGAGGAAATTCGACCATTCATAGAAAACATAACATATACATATAATATAAGGCCAGCAGCTTGTATGTTTATTACAGACTATAGGGTTGGTTATGAATGAAATGTTATGTATATCGCTTGTATATCATATTTGTAAACCTATACCTGCACTTATGTATTACATGTATCTATTGTACATTTTGTGCCATACACAAGAAGAGAAGTTAGCATTAGTGATTTCCTAAATTAATACGAAAAGAAAACTAAAAAGAGAAATACTAGTAAAACCGAGAAAAAAAAATCATTCTCCATTTAAACTGCCGTTTGCTCTTCATCCTAACTGTCCAGTAAGAATTATTGTCAGGTATATATATCACAAATTCCCACACGTCGCTTTTTTTCCCTTCCGAAACATTTCTAGCGCAGTGGTTTCATTCTGTTAATTCATTTCTAGACGAATCTCAAAATTTCCCATCATCTGTTTCATTGTGTGCTTAATCTTTAGTCGTTTTCCTCTTTGCTGACTGTTATCATTCTCTCTCTCTCTCTCTCTCTCTCTCTGTCTTATTTTATCGTATCATTCACCATATGTTGTCTTGTTTTATCCCCCCCTCTCTCTCCTATTTTATCTTATCATTCACCATATGTTGTCTTGTTTTATCCTCTCTCTCTCTCTCTCTCTCTCTCTCTCTCTCTCTGTCTCTCTCTCTCTCTCTCTCTCTCTGTCATATATCTTTTATTTCACTGGCACAGCATTTGTCATTCACATCAGCGGTTCTAGCATCAGCCAACCCTCTCGTCCAACGCAAATTCTCTTCATACTATTTCCTTTTCGCTGTTGAAGGGTTATTGTCAATGCTACTCTTGTTGCTTGCAGCCCGGACGGCACCGTGAATGACAAAAGACTACAACGACCGGACAACCTTTTGCAAAGCTGATGTACGCTGAACAGTGTCCACCGCGACGTTAAAAGGGGGTACGAGTGAGGTTCAGTATCTCCACAGCAGAGAGAGATCTGTTTCGACGATTTCGTTTATTTGCGTTTCTCGAGTTGTGAAATGATTCGTTCTCGTTCGTACCTTTTTTTTGACGCGGATGGGCGCTGTTTCAACCCGTCATCTTGTCGGTGCTAATCAGTTAATTTACTTTCTTTTTCATTCATTCATTTATCATCGCTACGTGTTTGACTTTTCCCCTCTTCTTTATCCAACAATTAATCCAATGTCTCTTTTTTCCTTACAGCCTTGTAACAATACCTTTCAATCCTCTGTGGTGCTACCCATACTATCGGAATGACAAGAAGAGTAGAAAATTGATCTTAAAAACGAGATAGACAGATAAATAGACAGATAGATAATAGACATATAGATTGACAGACAGATAGAGAGACAGGTAGGTAGGTATACTGATAGATGGAGATAAATAGATTAATAGATAGATAAGTATACGAATAGACATATAAATAGATAGATGAATAGACAGACAGACACACTGGCATACAGGAAGATAGATAGATAGAGAAAATATATAGATAGATTTGACAAGACAGGTATCTATAGATATACCTACCAACCTACTTACCCACATACATACATACAAACATACATTCATCCATGCTT